AGCACTATGGAAGAAAGAGACTTGGGGGTCATCATTGACCACAAGATGAACATGAGCCTGCAATGCGATGCGGCGGCTAGTAAAGCGACCAAAACGCTGGCTTTCATCCATAGATGCTTCTCAAGCAAATCCCGGGATGTCATTCTCCCCTTGTACTCGGCCTTAGTGAGGCTGCAGCTGGAGTACTGTGTCCAGTTTTGGGCTCCACAATTCAAAAAGGATGTGGAGAAGCTTGAGAGAGTCCAGAGAAGAGCCACGCGCATGATCAGAGGTCAGGGAAGCAGACCCTACGATGACAGGCTGAGAGCCCTGGGGCTCTTTCGCCTGAAAAAGCGTAGGCTCAGGGGTGATCTGATGGCCACCTACAAGTTTATCAGAGGTGACCACCAGCATCTGGGGGAACGTTTGTTCACCAGAGCGCCCCAAGGGATGACGAGGTCAAATGGTCGCAAACTACTTCAAGATCGTTTCAGGCTGGACATAAGGAAGAATTTCTTTACTGTCGGAGCCCCCAAGGTCTGGAACAGCCTGCCACCAGAGGTGGTTCAAGCGCCTTCATTGAACACCTTCAAGATGAAACTGGATGCTCATCTTGCTGGGATCCTATGACCCCAGCTGACTTCCTGCCCTTTGGGCGGGGGGCTGGACTTGATGATCTTCCGAGGTCCCTTCCAGCCCTAATGTCTATGAAATCTGTTCCAAAGGGGACTAATTACTGCAACATAAATGGCAGATAGTTTGGCTTAAAAACAGGTAGTGTATGTATGCAAGGTACTTTAAGCTAAACTAACCACAGTTACCTTGTCTAAACAGGTGATACAAAACTTAAATACCCCTTAGTAATGTCCCCAGGTTGGCATTTGGCATATAGTGTAAGTACCCACAGCCATCTACCCTCTGCATCTCCAGCTATTATTGTATCTTAAGAGCAAGATCAAGCTCAGTCAAATTATAAAATTGTAACTCCCCATGCACATAATCTTTTAATTTATTCTCACAGTTGTCAAATTAAGACCCACCTGTTGTCAAATTAAGACCCACCTGTGCATTCTCAGTTCTTTTCAAGAGGGAAGGGAAGGCAAGCGTCTTCCCTTTACTACAGACCAGTAAACTTGAAAGCAAACTAAATTAATGTAAGGGGATTTTTAACTATGATTTTAACAGAGGTTTGATGTATGTTATATACTTTTTATGTAAAAAGAACATAATGACAAGAATGTTCCCACAAAGGTAAGCCCACCTCCATTGCCCAGCCTGTGTAGAGCCTTGTCACATACACTGCCAGACAGTTACCTTGGTGTATTTGCTTTCTGTTGGCTGATACACGGCAACTGGAATCTAACAAACACTAAGACAGCACTTGGGAAACAAAGGAAGTAGCTGCACAAAAAGGCAGCTAAGGTTTGAAGGATCTTTATTTTAAGAAATCTTAAAGTAAACAATATAAATATTTTTTGGCAGCTGGGGCTAAAGGTGCAATCACTTGTCCTCTTTGAAGGGTATCCTAGAGAGAGAGCTGCCAGCTCTGAGTAGTTTGCCCTGCGTGGTGTAGGGCTAGCACGAGGGAGTCATTCATGGTATTCAGGTGCTCATCCATTATCACTGGGGAACTGTTCAGTCAATAACTTGCATTTATTCAACGTCTGTTGTTTCGTTGCTTTATCATGGCACAGTTCTACCCACAATGAGGTTTTCTTTGTATGTAGATCTAGCTGATGTGATGGGGAGTTTTTGATGGTGAAACTTCACACAATCATTGCAAGTGAGCAGTAGTTACATTTTGGTATAGCCTTCTCCATCAGTAATGAGCTCCTTGCTGTGGCATGTGTTGATAGCTTTTCTTTGAATGTCTGCTACCCCCTTGTCAACTTTTTTTTTTTTTTTTTTTTGGAGAGGGAAAGATGTGTGATATTACCAGAACTTCAGAAGTGGAAATAATTACCAGTGATCACCACTTCATTTGCACAGAGAATTTCTCCATTATAGAAATGACTAACTGCACAGATGTAACTTGTGAACTGTGTAGCTATTTCTCTGTTTTGTGAGTGCATTAGAGAGGAGACGTTATATTGTGTGCGTTTGGGGACTGGAAAGTTAATACAGCTTGTTCCTCTTTTTGTCTTTCCTCATTTTCATCCACCTGGTCCCATGTGGCTTGTGCTATATGGGGTCAAAACCATTTCTTAATTTTCCATTTTAGATTGACAGCTTTCTGTTAGTCAAACCATTTCCCAGGAGAAAATAACTAGCGAAAGGTGACTGAAAAAGGAATCGGTGTGGTGCTGGCTGGAAAGTAAAAGTGACGCACAGAGTCTGTCAGGTCTGTTATAATACTCTCATGCTGCTTTTTGAAATAAAGTAACTCCGCTTCAGTAGAAGTGGTGTCGAAGTACAGTTACGTTTTGTTGTGTGGAGGAATGGGTCAACAGTTACTTCTTCCATATGGTAACAAGTGCTTAGGTCAGCGGTTCTCAACCTTGTTAGACTCGAGGTAGGCTTTGGAAAATGCCAGCTGCTAGTTTTCACTTTTTTGACTGCAGAAAACTGTGCCGGTCTTTTGTTGCAAAGAACTCGGAAAGACCCCAACGGTTCAGAATGGCTTTGACGTTATGTATTCCTGGTTGAATTTGCTGGGGCACGTCCAGACAAGTGTGGATGTGCAGTATTGGGTGTCACAGACCTCTCTGCAGCACCACACATCGCCTGTTCAGGTGTTCCCCATGCTGCTACTTCCTGGGGGTGAGGGTTGACCCCAGGAGATCCCAGGTTCAAAAAAACCCACACCAAAAAAAGTGGGGTGGCACACATGGCAGCAGTGCACGCTGCCCAAAACTAGAACCTGGCTGGCGGGAGCCACACTGGCTGCTGGCCAGGCTTCATGCTGCAGGAGCACTATGGCTGTAGCTCCTGGAGGCCCCCAGGTAAGGCTGCTGGGGTCAGCACAGTTGCTGGCCCCAGCCTCCCCTACCCCACCCAGGGTAACCTGCCACACATCAGAGCATGCATGGCATAAGCATTCCCTGGGGACAAGTAGCTGTGGCACAAGGTGTGCTGCTACTGCTTGTCCCTGGGGGAG